GGAGGATGGTGGGTGGATTGATGATTGGGGAATGGGTGGGTGCAGGGGTCAGCCCTGGTTTTCTGAAGTCCCTGGGGGGCTGCGCCTACCACCCCAACATGGAGCCTGGCACAGCGGTGCCCAGGAAGACCTGGCCAGGAGGGCACACAACCTGGCCCAGCGGGCAGGTACTTTCTCCAGCACCAGCCTCCGTGGGCCCAGAACCCCTGGCTGGGTGCAGGGTGACTCACCCAGAGGTAGCCCTGAGGAAGGGAGGTGCTGACCGCTGAGAAGCCCAGCAGGGGGTAGCTGACAGGACTGTGGACCATGGCTCCAAGCTGCGGAGACAGAGACAGCACACTGGGTTACCTGTGGGCCTCCCTGCTGGTGTCTGGCAGCGGGCCTCTGTCGGAACCACCTGGGGACCTATAAACCTAATTCCTGAGCCCATTTAGGCCCAAGGAGAAGCCCTGAGGGTGGGGCTGGGAAAGGAATGCTCAGCAGGCTCTCCAAGGGTTCCATGCACTCCCACCTGGCCTGGCGCTTAGCTTCCAGCTACAAGGAGCCCGCGTGGTACTGGACAAGAGAGCAACTGAGCAACTCCCAGATAAGATTCGCTGAAACAGCTCACCCCCACCCCTTAGTTTACAGATGGGGAAAATGAGGTCCAGAGAGGCACGGTGGATGGGCAGGAGTTTGCAGCTGCGGGCCTCCCGCCCCAACCTCAGCTCAGAACCACCCTTCGGGTGGCCGGCCAGGGCCAGAGGGCTGGCCCCTGGCCAGCACAGACTGCCTGTGCGTCTGGGGGCTCTGTGGTGCCGAGCTGCCCCGAGAGCCCCAGGCTGCCTGCTCCACCTGCTCCTGCCGCCAGCCCAAGCAGGTGGCTCCCTGTCTCCTGGGCTGGGATGGCCGGTCTGTCTCTCTGGCCTGGCCAGGCAACACAAGACAGCCGGGCCCCTCTCAGACCTTGCTGGGACTCCCCACCAGACAGGGAAGGGGAAGGAGCCGGGCAGGCCTAATGAGAACAGGCCCCAAGAGGATGGAGGCACCAGGGGCCCTCTGCCAGGCCGACGCTGCCCTCTGCTGGTGCCGAGGCTATGGCCAGCCCCAGCCCTGGTGGAATATTCTGGCATTTCTGATGGCCACAGGTGAGGGGCCCAGAGAGGTCGCCCCACCCAGCCCCCTCATTTAGGAGAGGGCAGACTTGAAGCTGGGTGGAGAGGGCAGACTTGAAGCCAGGTGGAGGGCCTGGGGGGCGGGACAGGTTCAAGGTCATACAGCAAGCCAGTGGCAGAGCCCAGGCTGGGATGGAGTTGGACGCCCGGCCCGGCACCGGATGCCTCTCCTCTGGCCTCTGGGGCCCCATTTCCTCATGGAGACCCTGGGTCCAAATGCTCAGAGCAGGGGACTCCCCACGCCTGACCGCCCAGGCACCCTTGGGCCCACGCCCTCTGCTGTGTGGTGGACCCCATCCGTCCAACCCAGGGTCTCGCCCTTCTTTCTGCCAGGTTGGTCCTCCTGGGCAGGGGGGGTGAGGGGGGAGGGCAAGGAGCCTGGCCTCAGGTGTTTCCATGGCAACCCCAGCAGGCCCTGGAGGTCAGCCGAGCCCACCAAAGCCCGGGTCCAAGGTGACAGCAAAAACTCAAACAACCCCTCGGACGGGCAAGGACCTGGACCCAGAAATCCTGTCTCTGCCACTGCCCCGGGTCAAGATGCCCGGTGCGGTGTGGAGAAGAGACGCCTGAGGAGGGAGAAAGAAGGGCTTGGCTCCAGCAGCACCCCCCACTCCACCTCCAGCCCCAGCTCAGCCGACAAGCCCACGTCTGTTGCTGCAGTAACTGGCCAGGCCCTGGCTCACAAGGCCCCGTTCAGCTGGCTGGCGCCTGGCGCTGATGGGGCACATCGGTCCGGTCCGGGCAGGAGGTGGGCACCAGCAGAGCGCAGATGACATCCTGGGGCCCAGAAAACGGGGGTGTGCGGGCTCTGGGATGTCCCTAAGAGCTACACAGGCCGTGACCAAGGAGACTCAGTTCCCCTGGCTCCCATGGGGGGCTCCCAAGAGATGGCAGGTACAGGCTGGGGGTGGTGCACAGAAGCTTCCAGGCCCCAAAAGTGCCAAATGGGAAGCTCTTAGGCCCTCACCCCCAGGCGCAAGGCGGCATGCGGGTGCCCACTCCGGGAGGGCCAGAGGCGGCAGTCTGCCTGTGGCCACCTGCCAGTGACCTGTCCTGCATTTTCTGAGCGGCCCAGGGCCCTGTGGGGAGACTGGGCCACCCCGGTCAGCCTTCTCCTCGGGCTGCTCTAAGGCCAGGCGAGCTATGGGCAGGGTGGACTTACATAACCCCCATCCCACAGGCTGCACCCCTAAAATCTCCCCAGGCAGAAAGCTCACAAGACTCAGCAGGCCCCCCTGTTGATAAACAAGGACTGGAGCCCCGCAAAGCTGGGGTTCCCGAGCCTCACAGATATGATCAGGATCCTGGACTCCCCCAGAAACACGTGCACTGGCCAGCCAAGTGCAGGGGGGGGGGCCTGCCTCCGCCTCTCCCCGCAGCAGAGGGGCCAGACACATTGCCTCAGGGGGGCCGGGGAGGGCAAACTGCAGGGAGGCGCCTCGGGGCCACCACCCGCTGTCGGAACTGAGCTGCGGTCACACAGCCACTGCGGTGGCGGCCTTGCCACGGTCACTGCCACACTTCACCAGCACCCGCCGCAAGGTGCTGGGACCCGCCCTATCTCGCCCCAGGACCCCTACATCCACCTGTGGCCCAGGGAACACGCCACCACGCCCTGCCGCCATGACCTGGGCCCACACCCTTCCTCTGTCATGCGCAGCCCCCTCCTGCCCAACTCAGCCAGTCCTGCACCAGCCCACTTTCCAGCAAAAGCACCCCGCATGCTAGTCACTGGGTGGGGTTGTGGGGGCAGTGAGGGGAGACGCCTCCCCACAGTGCTGACTTCCCGGGGGCGGCCAAAACACTCAGACGCCAGGAAAAGTTTCCTGCCATTTCATTAACTTGAAAAGAAAAAGCTCTCCCCCAAATCCACGGTGAACAGTGACTGGAGTTTCAGCAAAAGCAGGACCTGGCCTGACCCTGCCTCCCCTGAGCCCCAGCCCCGATTCCCAAGCAAGCAAGCCCGCGGCTTGCCCCCCGATTGGGCTTTAATGCTCAGCACGAAAGCTCTGCCTCTCCGGGTGACCTGGTGTCCGGGAGCAGAGGACCCGGCCTGGCCCCGCCCCCATGCCCCTTTGCACCCCAGCCCTGCCCCACGCCCCTCCCGATATGCCAGGAGCCGCCGGCCCTGCCTGGAGCCGCCCCTGGCCCTGCACTGTTCTGAGAAGCAGTCCAGGCCCAAGCTGACCCCCGGCCACCGCCTCCTCCCGGCTCAGGGCCGCAGCCAGCCACGCGGCCGCCCCGACAGGCAGGCCTGTGAGTGGTTTCTCCGAAATGTTCTTCCCTCGACTCCCGTGGGGTTGCATCTCGGGTCCCAGCTGCGACGCCACCGTCCCCAGGAGGCCCTGACCTCCAACGGCGTGGCCACCTCTGACCCCCATGTCACTGGGAGGACACACCGCTCACTTCTGGTTCCTCGTTCACCCGGCTGAGACTGCCGCCTCGCTCTGCTAGACCGGACTCCACACCTGAGGGAAGGGACCGTCCGCCTCCGGGCCTGGAGCCTGCAGATCTCAGCGGGCGCACGCAGATGGACGGTGAGAGAATGGGCACTTGAAGCATTGGCCTGAGCTGTCCCCAGGTGCAGACGCTCAGCGTGCCCTGGGGCCCGTGTCCGGGCCTCGGCCCCACGCCTGCTCTCTGCCCGAGCTCAGGGCCGTGGTCCCCTTGGGAGGAGGATGGGCCGGAGCCGCGGGGCAGAGGCGCGGGGCAGGAGGCCCGACAGAGACAGGCCAGGCCCCAATCCCTGCACTGTCCTGTTGGCCACTTCCAGAAACTCCTGTCGCCTGCCTGAGCTTTAATGTCCTTGCTTGTGACAGATCGAGGAACATCCATTCACAGGGTTCTTACAAATCTCAACACGAGAGCGTGGTGGCGACGTCCTGGGGGAGCACCGTGGGCGCTTGACAAGGGGGAGCCATGCCAGCGCCCACCCCGTGCCCACCCCGTCGCGCCTCCGGGGGCGTCACAGAGAACTCAGCCCCCAAGGCCCAGCACAGCCGCTGGGCCCATTCTCACCTCTCTAGAATCTGGGCCTTGGCGCC